TTGGGTTTCAGATCATAGAGTAACATAGAGTTGGTTTCTCTATGTTCTGCTGTTGCTGTGGTCTTCATTTCATCCTCTGCTCTCCCTCAGTGATCTCCGAGGCTTTCATCCCAGGTTTAGTTGGTAAAAGGGCCCTGCTGCCCTGCTACTCTGGTTTTCCAGCTGATGACGTCTTATGGAGGGACAAAGATGACAACAATCTGCTGGACATCAACAAAGACACTCCCAACCCAAAGCGCCAGCACCAGAGGTATAAAGATCGAGTGACCTGGTCCCAAACAGAGTTCAAGAAGAGAAACTATTCCATCAACTTGCAGAACCTGGAGCAGGAGGACAGTGGAACCTACGAATGCACCGTCATCATTGATGGTGTGGGAACACAAACCAAAATAAAGTTGTTGGGTGAGTTGATTTCTCTCAGACGTTACCTGATGCAACAGTTTCTGAATGTTTCTGTGGTTCAAAAGGCTAATTTGTTGTTTTCTTCCCAGTTCAAGAAAATATGAAGAACTCAGCAAGTTGTGTGTACAGCAGACGGATTGTCCTGCAGACGTTGGTCCTCTCTGCTCTCAGTCTGATCATCTACTTCTAGAGACTGATGAGGAAACTCATCAAACCAGGACATGGAGTCACAGCTCCACACTTTTATATCTGGTCTCCATTTTATGTCTGGAGCAGAAGGTCAAGAGTTCATGTCAGTCCTCCATAAACCACTGGAGCTGTTACTGATACAGAATCAATGCTGAGATTATTTATTTGTAAATGTTTTAAAAGAAGGGGCAGAAATAAAAAAATGATTGAGATAAAGGGTTTTAGAGAGTTTTAATTGAACGAAACTTTAACAAAAGGCTCAGTGATTCTGCTGAGAAGGATCTCTCACCGTTAGCTTCCAGCCTCTTAACGTGCCCCCCCTCTGAAATGCCCCCATGGGCAACCACCCATATACCTATATCAACAAACGCCACTACCTGAAAAAGAGCCATAAAATACACAATAATAATGAGCTACGTACTAATGTATCTGCTCAGTGATCATTAAGGGATCACAAAGTGGCAAAGAGTGAGAATCTCATCCAGAAACAACAGCAGCACCAAAACAGAACCCTGAGGAACACCACAGTGGACCATGAAACCTTATTTCACCATCAACACGTTTCATGTTTAGAAGCTAGCTAAACAGCTAGAGCATTAGCTTTAAAGAAAGGGAACAAAAAGTATCTGAAGAAGCCTCAGATCACCAAATGTGGGCGGAGCCACAGGAGGAAGTAGTTTCTGCACTTTCTGTAGCAGCTGGATGGATTTATGCTAACAGAAATCTGGAGATCAACAGCTGAGAGAATCGGAGATCAACTGGGAACATGAGGAGCCACAAAACCAGCAAAATGGAGCTGACTGAGCAGCCGTCTCCGAGCGACCCAGATTGGTGAGTATTTGTTATGTTGTATTATGTATTTGTTATGTTGGTTGTGATGTCATGAGCATTTTGAGGTTATTTTACAGAGAAATCCTGATTACAGATTCCATCCATGTTTTAATTAAAATGTTCAAATGGAGATCATTTCATTGATATTTGTGTTGGCCGCTACATGGTTAGCATGAAGATGATAATTGAGGCTTGAATAGCTTTGCTCATAGGCTAATTGCTTTTACCACAAGTTGAACACAAGAGCAGACTTTTCCAGGATCCAATCAGATTGTTTAGAAGCAGAAAGTAACCCCAGTTGGAAGAGAGAAGTGGCTTCATCCTCCATCGATCTGGTTTGTACGTCAGATTTATGGACGTACCAGAAACACATGAGCACAAAAGTTCCTGCTGGGAACATTTGTTGGTGAAAAGAAAATTTGATTTATGTTACTGTATTTAAATAATTTAAATGTTTGTGAATTGAACTGAATTAATTTTAATCAATCATTTGCTGATGTAAACAAACTGCCTGGGATCTGTTCAAAGGGCGTCAGAACCAAGCTGATTGCGTCGCGCGTTCATTTCAGAGTCATCTGACCAGAGGACAGGAACAGGAAGTTCTTCACGGTAAGGTTGAGTTTTTCTACCTTCTGATTAGCCTAGCTTGTTAGCTAGCAGTGTGTAGGCGGATTACTTAAACCTGACCAACCTGATCGCACCAACACCACGGCTAGTTTTTAGCATTCAGCTTCACAAATCTGGAACAAACTTCCAGAAAACTGCCAAACAGCTGAAACACTGAGATCCTTTAAATCAAGGCTAGAAATGGATTAACGTTCTTTTGAACGAGAAAATGTAACGTCTGTCATTGGTTTTAATTGTTGATGGTGTAAAACCATGCTTCTGAAATGTGCTATGCTAATAAGCTTGCTTAATATCTTGATTGATTGATTTGATTTCATTACACACCAGAATCTCCCCTGGTTAGTTTCCAGGCGTCCAGCTGTAACTAGATTAGCAGAAGATCAGATTAGTTTTAGCAGAACTTTGGATTTATGCTGACTTTGAGGTCAGCATAAATCCAAAGGGTTCTGGTGGGTCAGACCTCAGGAAGGAGATGTTTGATTCAGAGTCAGAGGAGAAGAACAAACTGATGGTTTCGAGATGTTTGGACCGTCAGAACTCTGGTGAGTATGGCAGGTAGGTCACCAGGACCGGTTTCTGGTTCTGATCCGCCCCTTCTGGACCGACCTGCTGTAATAAATCTGTCACTGCAGCAGAATCTCAGGTAGGTGAGTCACTAAAATGTTCCAGCAAACTGGGATCCTCTGGAGTAAAAGCAGCAGAGAGACGAGAAGCAGCAGCATGTGAGCAACTCCGGGCCTGCAGGCCCGATTACCTGGAACCAGAACCCCAGAGACTAAGCAATGCTAACGGAGCAGCTGGCAACACGCTCCTCAGAGAGCAGCTGATCTGGCCAGTTTAAACAGTTCAGGCTGAAGCTCCACCAGTCAGTCTCTTTGTTTCCGTCTCTGGATGAGGAAGTTCTGGGCCTCATAAAAACAGTTTCCTGCTTGAACCCGACCTACCAGCTGATCCAGACGCTGAGCGGCTGCTCAGTCAGCTGACAGAGTCCACAGTGCAGCAGACTGGGTGTGACCAGGTTCACTTTCTACTGTAGTAATCATGGCAACCTGCTTTCAGCTCAGACTGGGAACAGGAACTGGAGTTCATTTGGAAACCATCAGTGTTTCTAAATTATCATCATTTTAAGAATCAAACAGTAATATTTATTTCACATCCAGTAAAGTTTATTAGTAAAGATTATTTACATGAAGTGATTTTACATTGTTGTTGGTCTTTTTACATAGAGCAGTGGTTCCCAAAGCGTGGGGCGCGCCCCCTAGGGGGGGCAAACGAGATGTGACTGAGGAATCAGTCACCTGAGAAATGACTGATTAATAGGATTTAGTTTTAGGGTTGGGGTTAGAGAACGCCGTTGACTGGAGCTAAAGGCTGCTTCTTATTGTTGTTTGGTTATTTACGTGTTTGTCTAACCTTAAATCTTTTGTGTGTAGGTTGGCAGGATAATGTACATTTAGCTTTTGTTTTAGTTTGACTAAAATAGTTGATCTTTGGTAGTTATTGATGAAAAGTGTTTTTGGAGGGGCTTTGTTTAGGGAAAGGGCTCCTATTTCTAGCCCTCTGGCGTCTATTAAAAAGGAAGCTATGCTGTCCTTGGGTCCCAAGCTGCTTTATTGAGCTTGAAGGGATTAGTGGAAGGGGATGTTTTTTCACATCCAGTAAAGTTTATTAGTAAATATTATTTACATGAAGTGATTTTACATTGTTGTTGGTCTTTTTACATAGAGCAGTGGTTCCCAAAGTGTGGGGGCGCGCGCAAATATGACACGTGAAATGCAAATGATGAGCGTCTGTGGGGCCCAGCGCCCCTCAGTTTACGAGAAAAAAAAAACAAAAATAAAAAGATTAAGTTAATCTTTTAAAAGCATAACACATATGTCAACGTAATGCATCGATCATTCACTTTGCATGAACCTATTATTTGTCATGGATAATGACTGTGTAAATGACCAGAGTAGTGGTCACTGATCTATGTGGTCACATAGATCGGAAATTTTAACACGATATGCCACAATGATGCACTACACACAGTAAAGTACACTGGATTTGGAGTTTGGTTCTCAAAAAAAAAAAGGATAGATAAGAAATACAAAACGAACATCCCTGTTCTCACCAGGGATTTTTGTGTGAAGAACACCCGGGCGTATTTAGTTTGTGTTTTCCTTACTATTCCTCCTCAAAGCAGGCTATTTCATTTAATTGGATTTGAACCCAAGGTCACACTTGTTTCCAGTTCCTTTTAGACACCAGGTCAAAGGTCACAACAATAACGGTTTCTACTTTTCTTATTTTCTGAAGAAGCTCTGAACCAATGGTTGGTTGGGTCTGGTTTAAAAACGCCCTGCTGGGGTCAAGTAGAGGTCAACATATCTGTTCTGGGAGTTCATTTCTCCTGAGATTCATCTGACCCACATGAAGAAGTTACCTGGAGCAAGAGAGAGGAGAGGAAATGGACTCAGATTCTGACCCACTGGGTCAAACAGAACATCATTCATTACAGGGAAACCTTATGAATGATGTTCAGGAAACGTTCACATCGTGTGGAACAGATGAAACCATAGAAAATGTTCTGTTGTGATGTGGAACAGAAAAGAAACTGATTCACAACCTGGGGAATCAGGAAGTTAACCTGCATTGTATGAAGGACCTCCGACCAGATGGTGGCAGTAATTCACTGTATTGTTGTCTAGGAAGAAGAACAAACAGCCTGGGTCCTCCAAAGGTTGCTGGCTCTGGTGTGTCCTTCGCAGCCCAAACTATCCCAGGATGCATTGCGGGCCGACAGTGTTCAATTCTGGCAGTACCAAAGTTAAAAGCTTGTTGTTATGGGCTCTTGTCGTTTTAATAGACATGTTTGATTTTTATTATAGTTTTTGGAAAATGTTTTTTAATCAGCTGATTAGCTTTATTAATTGTATGTATTATTATTTTCCCTCTCAGATCATTGATGATCACACTCTAGTCTGGTAGGTGGCGGTAAATGCACCTTAAGTTGGTTGCCACCCGCCAATTAAAAAACAGAAGAAGAAGAAGGAGGAGGACGCTGCATCCCGGGTTGTCGCTGAAGAATACGTCATAATGATGCGACATACTTTTCAAATAACCCATTCACTTCCGGAAACTCCTGTTGTTTAGCTATTAAAATCTAAAGTTAACCGTTAGCGGTTTATTCAGTTTCTACAGACTCCAAAGAGCCATGAAGTCACATATCAAATGGTTTGTTGTTCCGGTTGCTTAAAAACACAGAAAAATGTCTGGAATGTCGAGCAAACGCTAATAGCAGAAGTAGCATGTTAGCTATCAGGTTAGCTAACTAGCTAGCTTCTGCCACTGCTGTTATTGTTGTCCGTTACTGCTGATTCATGCTGTTACTGCTGTTAGTCCATCGCCAGGCAGTTTTTGTCCGTTTCAGGGGGGCGAAGTTTATCAATACAAATCTCTGGTTAATATTTTGGTATGAAAGCTCTTCCTAATTGGTAGCTGAGTTGAGACTGGTGCATGTCTGCCATGGTGTGGACATTGATCAAAGATCTATCATGAAGTTTGGTGTCATCTTAAAGGGGACACTCTTGGCTTTCATTTAAACCAGGTCGTGAGTCTCTGAGCTCATTAAAACAAAAATAATACACATTTTTTACTCTTTTAGAACAAACTAGATGCATTTCTTTTATCCCAGTAAAGATGTACGCCTTAAGCTTCAGGTGATCTACAAACAATTTGTTTCCATCCATTCACTATCTAACACAATTATTCTTGTGGTTCTGGAGGAGGGGGCCGGTTCACCCTGAAGTCCAGACCAGTTAAGCTGACTCATGTCTCTGGCCTGTGGGAGGAAGCTGGAGTACCCAGAGAGAATCCAGGCTCAGTGAGAACATGCAGACTGCATTCAGTGCCATCATGGATGGAATAATCTGGTTACCTCATAATGTGGCTGACCTTTGACCCCACCAGCTGCAGTAACCCCAGATCATAGCCTTTACAGGCTGCTACAGTAGACACAAGGCATGATGGGAGTTCATCTCACTCTGAAGCACCCATCACTGTGGAAGAGAGGAAACCTGGACTCTTACTTGTCCTCCGTCATGTGGCATCACTGTCAGGCGTCCAGAACCTCGGCGCACATCCAGATTGTTGATCACGTCGTGTTCTGGCTCTTTCTGGTTAACACAGTTAGAACTCACTAGTGTTCTGGTAGAAGAGGAAAAACCTGCTGGTTGTTTTGTGTCACCAGTAAAGATTCAAACCTAAAATCCTGATGATGATTCAGATGAATAACTGAACTTTGTGTTTCTCCAGGATCCAGATTTGCATCTTCACCCTTCTACATTCTGGTAAGCAGTGACTCATTTCCTGTTGGTTTTGGTAGCAGCAGTCATGTTTAAAACGGTGAGAGAGCTCAAGGTTATGGAGAAGTTCTGTTATGTAGTCACTCTCAACGCCTTATGTCAACACAAAGTCTAGAGTACGATGACAATAGAGGGCAGGACTGTGGGTTCTTTGAATGAAGCCGTTTCTGTCTGTGGGATCAGACTACTACCTGCTGGTGTCAAATCTATTTAAAGCTAAGATTCAAATCTTGTTTCCCTGTTGCCATGTAACCTCTTCTTAGCTCCATTTTATACCCAGATCCTAAACCAGAGTGTTTATCTTCCTAAAGTAGAGACACATACTGTTTTCAGAAAAGCCTGATACCAATCAGCAGGCAGCATCCTCTCAACTGCTGATACATCAACTTGTTTATATGTGATTTGTTCATTGGATCTGTGATTGATACAAATGTGTTCAACACTTTTTATTCTGCTAGTCTTATTAGCAGCATCAAACATTCAATGAAAATTGTATTTTCATGATTGTGAAAATACAATTTCACAATCACGGTGTTCCTGTTAAGTAAGTAACACAATTAAAGTCACTCATGAATAAGTTTAAGTCATTAAGAACATGCTGTGCCAACACACCTACCACTTCATGTTGTCTTGTTTTCAGTCAGCAGTAACATCCGGCTGTTAATCATGTGATTCGAGTGACGTAAAAAACTGTTTATATTACAGTTTTACAAAATAAACTAATTCCTGTACGGCTGAAAAACTACCTCATCCTATCACCAAAACTTATCAGAAACGTGTTTTTTATAAGTTGCCATGTTTCTGTTCAGTACATTGATTGTTGTAATTCCAATTTATCTGCAATTATCTGGTCAATGGAAGTGTAGCTGCTGTTCTGGTGCTGCTGTGGTCTTCGTCTCATCCTCTGCTCTCCCTCAGTGATCTGCCAGAAACTCACAGGCTTTGTTGGAGAAAGTGTTCTGCTGCCCTGCTCTTCTGATAACCCTAAAATGGCGAACGTGTTCTGGAGGGACGAAGATGACGGGGTTCTGCTTGACATCAAGAACGGTGTTGAAGACCTGAAATATCAGCACAAAAAGTTTAAAGGTCGAGTGTCCAGCTTCCCAACAGAATACCGGAACAGGAACTACTCCATCACCTTAAAGAAACTGACGCTGCAGGACTCTGGAGTCTATGACTGCAACGTCGTCATTGACAACAAAGAAAATACATCCAGGATGAAGTTGGAGGGTGAGTTGATTTATCTGTGAAGCAGCAGAGCAGAAATCAGTCAGAAAGGTTTGCTGTGAGTCAGACACATGATGATGCACAAAATTCAGATGGGGTCACAAAATGGATTTCTCCAGGTCAAAACAAAGCGCAATAGATCACAGCGAGTAGCTAACGCCATCGATAGGCTGAAACAGATGAGGCATGGCAAAAAAATGTGCAGATATTGTCTCAGTAAAAAAGACTTCTCTTATAATCTTGAGGATTTACCTGCATCCAGGCAATGAACATAACTAACTACCTGGAGCTGCAGACCTCACATTACACCATGCACCAGAAGAACGTTTCAAAAGCCTGGAGAATGCAACATTTAGTTTCAAGTTGGGTAAAATTTTGGGTTAAAAAAATCATTAAATGACTTGTTTCTGCTGGGTAAGTAGTGAATTCTGCCATTTTAAGTAATTAGTCTATGATAACGATGCTATCGCTAACAACAAACTAACCCATGTGCTTGGATCCCCTGGTAAATCATTTATTTAGCTTCTGCAAACCCAAATTGCTGCTGGAGTTGAGTTAATGTTGAGTCGTTGTTGGATTCAGCTCCAGTGTAGCTCAGCCATTCTGTGATCTACAGAAAAGCCATTAAAACATGATTTATATAGCATTTAAATAATTTACATATGTCCTTCTAAGTAACTGTCCAATAAAACATCTGAGAATATAATTTAAATGATGAGATTGTTTGCTGTAAACTCTGGCATTGTTAGTTTCTGCACCTCCAGTTTTCAGCTGTAGATTCTTGATCCACTTTTCTCCTCTTTTTTCGGTAAGTTTGTTCAAATTTCCTCCCCTGTGACCGACTGCCTTTGAAACACAAAAATAAGGTTTATCTTTCTCTCTATGAGGACGGTTGGAACAACAGTACAGGACTCAGACTTTAGGCATTTTGATGCTGGATCAGCAGAAATAATCGGGCTGCATTTACTTCCTGCCCTTCATCTGCTTTGGGTGACATCGGTGCTACGTCGTCTGAAACCCAGCAATATTTAGACATTATCTGATGAAACACAATGAAAACTCATCCCACATAATCTGTTTACTGCTCATTTCTGAATGTTTCTGTGGTCAAAAGGCTCATTTGATGTTCTTTCCCAGTTAGAGAAGCTGTGAAGATCCCAGGAAATGGTGTCTCCAGCAGGCGGATCGTCCTGCCGACGCTGGTCCTCTCTGCTCTCAGTCTGATCATCTACTTCTAACAGGAAGTTCAAACATCTGCTACAGTAAACATTGTTTAAGTTCAACTTTCAGCAGTTTCTAGTAGTAAACCGCGGACTAAGTTACCGTCTTGCACCTGTTGCCATTTTATGTCCGTAGAAGTTAAAACCTCCAGTCAATATTCTGAAGCCTGGCAAGAAAACTGATCAAACCAGGACAAGAGTCACAGCTCTCCAGTTTTATCTGGTTTCACCTCTAAAGCTGGAGAATGTAACTTTAAAAAGGTTTTTCACATACTTGTTAAAACTGTCAGCTTGTTATGACACAATCTTTGAAAGGATCGATCTCCTCTGTCTTCTCCGAGCTGCTACTGAACAAATGCACTAAAGCAACCAAGCAAGGGGGCGGGGCTTAGTGCCGTCAATCATCCCTGTGAATGTGCTGGCTCTGATTGGTTGCTTCTTCCTGAGTGGTGCAGCAGCACTGGGAGAAAACAGGAGATCGATCTTTGCATAGATTATCTGTCTCATAACAAACTGTCAGAACCTGGAGACAGACTTAATAAATATGGCAAAATATACTTTTTATTAAAGTTACATACCACAGCTTTAAGGAGAAGGTCAAGAGTTCATGACACTGGAGCTGTTGTTTACAGAATCACTATTAAGATTATTTATTTATGAACATAAATATTTACATAATAAATACACATAAATAAAACATAAATAAATACATAAACATTTTTCAAAATCTGATGTTTTTGTTCATTGCTGTCAACAAATATTTGTCCAAATTTTCATAGCAGACAAATATTTAGTGCAGCTGAGTTACCAAAAAAATGCATTAATTTATTGTTAACATCTTCTTGATGCAAGAATGTAACCTGTCTTCTTCTTCTTCATTCCAATCTACTTTAATGTTTTTGAAGGAAGCAAGAACATTTATATTGAACTTATGTTACTGTTTATGGTATTATTTATATATTACTAAAAGGCTGTTAATTGTTATTGTATGCATTCCTGTGGAAAAATGTGGACGTTTTGAAGATGATAAATTATTATTTGATGAAACTTGTTTAGGTTTGTGATGACTGAAAGACTCCAAAATGAAAAAGTGAAGTGTAGTTTTGAAGTGAACATAGTGATGAGAGTTGATTCATCTGCTGCTTTCTGCTTTATGTCATATGACTAGAATAAAACTGGTCCGTTAAACTGATTGTTGAAGTTTACTTTAAAATAAAATGAGACTGAAACTGTTATTTGTCTGTTGTAAGTCATTTCTGCCACAAGAGGGAGCCAGCTCACTGACTGGTAACGTGATACTTGCTTGGTGACTAGAATATAGCAGTAGAAGTAATAAACTAATGTTTATTAGTGTTCCAGGTTGCTGATGGCTCCATGTGGATGTGACGCTGCTGTTGCTGAGCGGCAGTGTGAGGAACAGCTGCTCTGTGATCTTTCATGTTTAATGTATCTGAACTTCTGTCTGGACTTGTTGAATTGTGGTTCTAAACCTGAGTTTATCACATCTCTACACCATAAATGATGCGATCATTTATGTAGCTTTTCAGGTTTTGTTCCCTAATATTTGCTTAAATCTTTTTAAGCTGCTTGCTCACTAAGATTTTGTCTTTTATTAGTCATTCCATAAATAAACACAGTAGTTTGGCTGTTTTTATTCTTTAGTTTTAAACTGGTGGTTCACATTCATTCGTTGTGTGTTGCAGATAAAAGGCGTTTCCAGCCGAGTTTTTACCCATCAGCAGACTGAGTAGATGCTTCACATGAAGCGCTGGCAGGTCGACCTCTGACAGGAAACAGGAATTGAACCCATGGCTTTGGAATCTGAGCCACAGTCATTGAATCTGAGAGGCTTGAATTTAACTTGCTGTTCAATTGGATCTGGAGGATTTGATGTACTTTGGTGACAGAACCGTTCCAGCTGGGTTTGAAGCCTTCTGGACCAAAAGCTGCAGGAAGCTGTTCATAACCCAGAGCTGCTTGATCAGGTCGTTGGTGTTCAGTCATGATAACATTTAGTTAATATTGACCAAAAGAGCCGTTCAGGTCAAACTACTTCTGTTTGTCTCCAATGTTGTTCCTATGCACCGGTTCTGGTTCTGTCCGTCCTGCAGCAGGTTCTCTAGTTCAGGTTTCTCCTTGGTCCAGTCGTCCTCCAGCTGCTGCTGTTTTTCTATCATCTGCAGAAAAAGTGACTGAAATGTTGTGGTCTAGTCCAAGCTCAGCCCGGTTCCTGGAGTCTGAATGAGTTTCACTTCCTTGTTGTGAGCCGGGTCTGATCTTAGTGACTGATGAGACGCTCAGAGGAAGTGGGGATCAGTCTGTGCTGCCTCACAGCGGAGCAGCAGCCCGTCTGATGGATCTGCTGAGGACGGTTCTGCTGCTGGTTCTGCTGCTGGTTCTGGTGGGGTCAGAGGCCCAGAACTTGAAGAATGTCACTGTAGAACCGGGTCATAATGTGACTTTAACCTGCTCCGTTAACAGTAGTGACGTCTACTGGTTCCTGAACATCCACAGCCCGTTCAGAGCAGGAATTGGACGAATTCGTTCTTCATCATCACCTATCTTCTGCCAGTCAGACTTCAGTCAAAGTTCAGCATATCAGGAAACCAGCTGGAGATTACAAACGTCTCTGCTGAGGACAGCAGGCTGTACTACTGTGGGATAAGCAGAAAGGCCAGATTGTTGACCAAGACACCTTCAGTCTTCATCTGTCAGGTGAGAAGCAAAGACTTTTAACTCAGCAGAGTTTCATTAGTTTGGTTTTATGAGAATAGATGAAAACATGGTGGTGAGTTGGGACCTTTATGCAGCTGGGATTATTAGCATGAATAATAATGTTATATTATTGAATTAGCCTTAAAGAAGCTGCACAGCTGAGACAGTCAAGTCAAAGTAAATGTTTAGTGAATGTTGAACCTGATGTTGAATTTCATTAAAACATCTTTAAAATCTGAAAATTGTTTCCTGCACTTTGAAACTGTTTATCTGAAATTAAACGTTGATTCTGTCTCACAATAAGCAAAAAGTAAGCGAGCTTAGTGAACTGTTTGGAAGTATGATGTGTGAATGAAATGAATTTGGTGAACTGTTTGTTGTGAATTAGTCATTCATTATATTCACATTTTGACTGAAACAGTTTGTTCAGCACTTCTATCAGTTTATCTGCCTCTTAAATCTACTGACTTCCTTCAGTCTGTTTTCTTTTGAAACCTTTCTCAATTACTTTATCATTATAATTTTCTTCCTCTTCAGTTGTTTATCCAACCACATCCGTCCTGCCCGGCCCCTGGTCATCGACCCCCTCCTGCCCCACAGCGGGGCAGTTCCTCCAGCCCCTCATGGCAGTTTCTCTGGGCCTGAACGCCGTCCTGCTGGCTGCTGTTACTGGTGAGAAACTTTACACCCTCCAGAGCTTCGGCTTGAACATTCAGCATGAGTTTCAGTTTGATTTCATTTGTTCACATCTTGGTAAAAATGTTAGTTTTTTCCTGTGTAAATTTTTATTAGTTTAAATATTTAACTCACTACCTCCACAGGTAAATATTTGCCAAACATTGCTACTTAGATTTACAAGCTAAATGTTAGTAAGCTAAATATTTAGTTTAGATCTAGACATCTAGTTGTGAGCTAACTAAACTTTTATTGACTTTGTAAATATTGCTGTTTAGATTGTTTATTTACTTTGGAGCGAAATATTTAATTTACAACTAATAAGCTAAATATTTAGCTCCAAAGTCAGTATTTAGTTAGCAAGCCCACTTTTTGGTTAAAATGCAAATATGTATTTTGAAAGCTACATATTTATCATTAAAGTAAATATTTAGTTTGCTAACAAGATATTTATTTAACGCTAAATATTTAGATTGTGAATTAAACATTTCACCACAAATAAAATCTGTAATTTGAAACTAAAACTATGACTCTGAAAAATGAATCTCCTGTGGAACTTATTAAACAAAAACCTCATAAGAAGCAAGAATTATTTGGTAAATAAAAATCAGCAGAGACAAATTGTTCAGGTTTTTATCCTGTCGAGCATGAACTGATGATCTGAAGACTTTCCTCTTCGTTTTCCTGAGAATCAAGAGTTTTAAAATGCTACATCATAATGACAACAACACGGGTTTTCACAACATTAAATAGAAAACATTAACAATTAATTTAAAATGAATTTATTTTGAAGAATAAAAGTCATGAAATACCAAACACCATACTGTGATGTCTGAAAAATGTTAAATGTTTTAATATTTGATCATGTAATTACATGACAAAAACAATCGGTGAGCTGGGATTCGACTTTGTGATGTTTTTGTTGGGTTTGTTTAAAAGTGACTGACTGACTGAACGTCCATCTGCAGGTTTTCTTTGTGTCTATATAAGGAGGAACGGCTGCTGCTGCTGCTGCTGCAGGGCGAAGGACTCTGCAACAAACAACATGGAGAACGACGACATGCAGAACCCACAGGTAACAACCAACCAGCCAGTCAGTCTGAGAGACGATTTCACAGTTCGAGATGCTAAAACCAGAGACTGTTGGTGGGACACCGCAACGTTTTTATGTTCCAGTGGTTCACCTGCTGCTCAGATGCTGCTGCAGCATCATAGGGCAGACGTGTGACAACTTCACCGTTTTCTCTGTAGAGGAATTGAGTGGGACAAAGACTGAAACCACCAGCAGTGCCAGTTCTGTCACTAATCAGAGTCAAGTAGACGGAAAACTACAGTTCATCTGGAGGATTTGATGAACTTTGGTGACAGAACGTTCCAGCTGGGTTTGAAGCCTTCTGGACCAAAAGCTGCAGGAAGCTGTTCATAACCCAGAGCTGCTTGATCAGCTCAAGCAGCTCGGTTAGCTTTGGTTGGATTTACCCAGAATGCCCTGCACTGCAGTCACTTTCTGCTTTTAGATCCTCTTGGTCTGACTGGAGTTCACATTCAAACTGAACCAGACCGAGGCTTGGAGGACCAGAGGTCAGAGGTCGATTAGTGTTCACACTGTGCCAACCGACCGGACTTTACAGGCAAATGGACCGGAGTTGGATTAAACTGGACTGATCAGGGCAACGTTTGTCTGTGTGTTGAGTCATCATCTGGAGCAGCCATGATCTGTGTTGTGCAACAGGAAGTCTAGTTTCACTGTGCATAACTATAAATAATTCCTCAGGGCAGTTATTAAGATAATTTAGATAAGAAATGATCAGGTTTAGAAAACATTAAAGAAGTTCAGTCTGAGTTATTCATAAATAACTGCCTGATAGGGGTTCAGTTTCAAATAAGACAAAAGATTATTTACAAAAAGAATTCAAACTTACATTTAAATACTTTAATCAATAACTCTCTAAATAATAACTCAACTAATCTGCTGAGAAAACAATAAACCGTCTCTGGTGTCTCGTTTCAGTACGAGGAGATCCAGCTGCCTCCCACTCTGGTTCCGGTTCCGGTTCGGGTTACATCAGAATGCATCTACTACAAAGCCCAACATCCCAACCCCAAGATGCATCAACACTGACTCACACCTGGGCAGGTGAGCCGGTTCTGGAGCTGCTGCTCCGTCTGAGGAGAGTCCAGGAAGTCCAGGCCTGATTCAGCCAAGCTTCCTGCTTCTGAACGCTATGAACTCTGGGAAATGAGCGCCGGCTGAAGGTGTCTGAGACGGTGGTATTGTTTATGTGAGTGTATTTATTAGTTTCTGTTTTTAGTTTTAATTTTAGTTCCTGTTTCTTTAATTTGGGATGTCAGTGATAATAAAAACAGGATGTCTAAATATCAGATTTGGTTTTCTGTCCATCGCAGCAACGGGCCAAAAGTCCCAACGGCACCATGCTGCTCACTGATTGGCTGGAAGCTCCACCTGCAGGACACAGAACATGTCATCAGGTCTGTGGAAAACAGACCAAACTAGAACAGGAACATGATAACAGGAAGTCAACAATGACAGAAAATAAACAAAGATCAGAAACACAACCAGGAAAATACCTGAATAATTCATAAATAAACCAAAGAGGCTGACAGGAAATAATCATTAATGTTTAAGGAGATACTCAAAAAGACACAAGAATAATGAAAGAACCAAAGGAAACGAGGCTCAAAGTCAAACGTGACGAGTTGTTCTGTTTAGCTTTAGCCGCATTGTGGTTTTTTATTAGCTTAGCTTCAGGAAACACGACCCTGTACTTCCTGTTATGACTGAGGTTATTAATCATCTGAAAAGTTCTTTGTGAAGATCTGAGCA